GATCAGAATAAGGTCCAGTGGCGACTTTATGGATGGATAATATTAAAATGGATTCTAATTTGATCAGAATAAGGTCCAGTGGCGACTTTATGGATGGATAATATTAAAATGGATTCTAATTTGATCAGAATAAGGTCCAGTGGCGACTTTATGGATGGATAATATTAAAATGGATTCTAATTTGATCAGAATAAGGTCCAGTGGCGACTTTATGGATGGATAATATTAAAATGGATTCTAATTTGATCAGAATAAGGTCCAGTGGCGACTTTATGGATGGATAATATTAAAATGGATTCTAATTAGATCAGAATAAGGTCCAGTGGCAAATATTGTTAATATGGTACTGTGCATTACAGTTTCACGAACTCGCGGACTATTTGAATACACAGCGCAGTGATATATGGCACGAGGAATCATCAGTCTGCAATGATTACAGTTTTTAAATATACCCGCGGTCTGGAATGCTCTAGTTATATCAGTCCCTGAGCTCGGTTTAGTCCGCGTTCGGGTGGAAAGGCAAGCGACTGAACCACTGCTGACGAGTAAGCATGAATGACCCTCTTTTGCCCACAACCGAGACTGACGCCCAGCGCTACTGCCCGGTATGTTTATCGACTTCAGAGTGAATCCAGTTCTTTTATGTGAGACCGACGCTCATATGAAAGGTTAACGTCGCAAAATCTTGTGCAAGGAACGGATTAAACAAATTTTCCTCCGGAAAACGTCATATATTTAGTCCGGCTGTTTTATCCTCACACGTACTGTTTGTGCATGTCATCAGATAATTACATTTTCTTCGTATTCTGCGAACTTGTTAGGTTATCTTAAAATCCGTCAGTATGTTTGCCCTCTCCAGCTTTGTATCACGTATTCCCACGTAATTACTCCAGAAAGTTACATAATTATTACAACATACTTAAGAACGTGCGTGAGTGAAATTGTAAATACTGTTATGACGCTGGCCACAAGTTAAATCAGAGCTATTTGCAGTTAAGAACGAATAATATCGATCACTGTCTTATGGACTGTGACGCCGGCGGTCTTGTGGATATATAACGACCCCCAGACAGTAACTAATCGCTCCTAAGGTCACCATCTAAATTTTTTTTATAGCCACAAAATCATGACCTAGATTGTGAATCTCTTGTAAACTGAAACGACTTTGGACACAAATAGAATATACCCACGCTTCAAAAATAATTTAACAGGCAAGTGATTATTTCCTGTCTGAATGCAGACTACATATTTGAAAGCTTCCTGAAACGCTGGTAAACTTCTACAAGACTACATGGTGTAACAACTCAGAAATCTTGTTCGCCCCTAGAAAATGATAAAATAATTAAAATAGTATTTCCCCAGACAGTTGGGAAAAGAGCGGATGTTCACTCTCATCAAGAATATCTATCAGGAAGGCTGGATAATGCTTCCATCTTTTATGACTATGTTCTAACCTTTCATGTAGTATGTCAATTGTCAGACAGATGTCGCACGGTGTGTTTGATTTACAGATTTGCGTTGTTGATAATGCAGGTTAAAATCTCGACGTAGGAATTGGTTTCGCAAGTTCTCACGTATATGTAGGAGAATGCGCTTTACTTCAACAACTTCGTATGGTATTTAGACAAGCGACCGTAGTCTTAAACGTAATTCCTTGGTTGGAAGAGTAGAGTGCCGCCATATTATCAAAATATCTCTAATTTCTTCTTAGCAGTAAAACATAATTAGTGATCTCAGTCTCGTACTAGAGACAAGTGTAATTGAGTTAAAAACGGATATTTTGCAAATTTTGACTGTGCTTGTAGTGTCAATCTGTAGAAGACAGTGCATATAACTTTGAGACAAGATTTTTCAGCTGTTCAAGAATTTCTACATATGAATAAGGTATTTTTGAGTATTTTAACCTCAAAACTGAAAGTCCATAAAGTTGGCAATTCCCTAAGGAAGTATAATATACCATTATTATACCTAAAAGCCTTTTCTTACTTGGTGGTATACCAGGAAATATTCTGGAGATCATTTTATAACTTTTAACCTCAAACTGACAATCATCAAATTCCATGTAATAAATATTATTTTAAAAATTAAAGGTTTACCTTGCATGTAATTTGCATTTATGTAATTCCTAATGTAGAAATGGATTTAGGATTACTGCTTACAAGTCTTAAGGTATGATACTCAATCAGGTACATTTTATCTCTTATGAAAATTACTATTTCACTGGAGATTCTTTGGTAAATAACAATAATACTTTCAAAACTATTCAGTAAAAATAATAAACAGTCAGTGATAAGTTGTGGTTTACTATTGTAAGTAATTTATTCTATATTAACTGTGCCAAAAACCATTTTTATAAAATATGTACTTAAGTTAATTTACAATTAAAATATATTAATATTATGCCAGTCACACTCTTTTGGTTCTGGTTCAGTAGATGAAGGAGCATCATATGAGCTTTGTGTAGCCAAAATATCTGCTCAAAGTCCAAGTTTATCTTGATATAGAGCATAAATAATAGAATATGGATCTTTTTAATGATATATTCTTAAAGCAAAGAAGTTAATTTGATGTTCAGGTCTTTTTATCATCTGTTAACAGACGTCAATTTTGTTTTTCATCCATATTAATTTCCACAGGTGTGTTATCGGGTTTTGGGGGAAAAGCATTTGACTCCTCTACCATCAGATCTGCTCGTGCAGTAGCTAGGTAAGTTTTTGAATTCATTTACACGATATTTATTATAAACTAGGATGTCAGGGTTTCAATATCATGTATGATTTTACCAAGTTTCATTTGCAGCTTTGGTTGTTTGGAAAACCTAACCTAAATTAGCTAATTGATATTGCCACTTTTTGCTTTGCAAAATTATTTGGATCATTGCAAACAGAACATCTTGAAGAATTAATTAGTTTTAATGTCTCATTGTTTATTAAACCATCTACATTAAAATTTTAGAACTCTTGAAATAAAAATAGAGAATTTGTAAGGTTAACTTTACTAATTTCACTGCCAATTGCTGTTAAGTAACCATGGTTGTGAAGATAGTTTATTAAATTTAGTTTTTAAGAGGAAATAACATAAAGAATGATATTATTATGAATAGAAATTAAAAATTCTTCAGTAATTTCTTCATCCTTAATATCACACGTAAGACTTTTTCTCCAAATATGAGATTATAATAATCACATTCCACGTGAAAAATGATAACATGATCTTAGGATCATTTATGCATGATTTTGTTCATATTCAGCTCTTGGGAGTCTTATTTTGAAATGAGTGACTTTAATCTTGCCTTGATGAGTTATTGCTTTGTTAACATTAACATCTGCTTTTAGTTTGTCCCACGTATAAAGAGCATTATCATCCATAGGAGCTCAGAAATAATTTTAAAACCTCTTTTCATTTGTGTCTATAATAAATGGAGCCAGGATAGCTCAGTCAGAAAAGTGACGACTAGGGTTTGATTAGTGATGGATGCAGAGGATTTTTCGGCACTCATGTTTTGGTCAGTTTTTGAAATAAGATTATTAAGAATGGATTCAAGTGTTTTTATGTCGTACTGCCCCATGGGAATGTTAAACTATTCCCAATTCTAAAGATGTAAATTCTTCTACTGTATATAAGAGTTGAGATAAGAGATACTCTTTTAACACTGGCTTTTGCAGTTTAGTTATTTATTTTGGGCTATTATTTTGAAAAAAAGAAGCATTTGCGACCACATGTTCATAGGGACATTTTTTTTCTTACTTTTGATCCAGGAACACGCACACAAAGTTTGTAAAAATACTTTTGAATCACCCTGTATATAATACAAATATGTAGGCAAACTGAGTGATTCGCAGTTCTGAGGCCAAAATTGAAGTCGAGGTTGATAAAAACATAATTTGAAGGCGAGAATTGAAATAAATAAATACATTTAGTAGGATTTGAGTTTCTCCGGGGACAAGTATGCAGATGGCTGTCTTGTGGGTTTGCATCGCCGTGTATTCTGGCAGAAGTTTACCGACGTTTCGGAGATGCGTGCTTATCTCCCTGATGATTGAGGCAGCAATCCCCCCCGAAACGTTGGTAAAATTTTACAAAACAAAACAACTCTGCCACCCAGAAGACAGCTGTCTTACTCAGAGAAAATATAACTCGATTCATCAGCGTTCCGAGTTACAAAGTTTGGTCACTTTTAAGAAATTACGAGGTGCGATCGGATAGTTTCCAGACTGCGCATATAAAAACCCGTACACTTATCTCAGGTATTAAATTCAACCATCACCCTCGAAGTAGTTCCCCTTTGAGTGAACACAACGATACCAGCGCCGCTGCCAAGCCTGGAAGCATCCCTGGAAATCTTTCTTTGTCAGCCTGTCAAGCACCATCTGCGATTCTGCCTGAATCTCTTCTATCGTCTCAAATCTCCTTCCCTTTACCTGAATTTTCTTCTTTGGGAAGAGGAAGAAGTCACACGGAGCTTAGAAAGGAAGGTGGGGTCGGTTCTTGCAAGATCTTTCAGCTCCTGACAAACGAGAAGTCGATTCTGCTTCTAGTCCTCTGACAGGATGCGTCGCATGTGGAGTTCTTCCTTTAGAATCAGCTGACAGGTCCCATAGCCTATCCCAAAAATGTCGCACAAGTCGTTGATGGTACGACGTCGATCTTCGTAACAGTTTCGGGCGTTGTGCTCGAAGATGGTCGTCCAGAACGCTCGGCATCATCGACAGAGGTTCGGCCATTTTTAAAACGTGAATGCCACACAAAAGTTTGTGCACGACCCATTGCGGACTCCCCAAATGCTTGCTTTAGCATTTCATAGGTTTCCGTAGCCGTTTTGGCGAGTCTTTGGCAAAATTTGATGCACACGCCATTCCGAAATCGCAGGAGGGTCGGTGTAATGCACTACCAAAACGCCCGTAACTAAGAAACAAATGCTAATTCGATGATGCCGGCTGGCACACTGATTCACTATGAATGTAGGCCGCACCTCCTAGCGGCAGAAGTTCGTACTACATCCGGTTCGCCCTCTATTGACACAGTCTTGAAACTTTCCGATCGCACCTCGTATAATAGCAGCAATTGTCCAAAAAGACAATGACTAAATTTAAATGAAAATATAATTAACGATAATATAAGAATGTTATTGAATTAAACAATTAACTCCATAGAGCACAGTCTGTCTTGAGAAGCTCGTAGAAGGCTCAGTCAGATAGTCAGTCTACACCCTTAAATCTCAGATCCATGTACAAATTAGGCGCTGTGATCCTCAACGCATTTTATTTTTAAAAATGTCGGTGCCATTTTCCTTTCTCTGTGATAAACTAATGAATTTTCCAAATGTATATACTTCGATGACGTGAAATTAATTCTGTAAAATGGCCAATGGGCACTGGTTCCTGACATCATTGTGTTTGTCCACTGACAGAATGACATTAATCCGTAACACACCGTAAAATGTGACACGTCTCGTTTAGCGTTTCGGAGGGGACATTCACAACCTTCTTCAGGGCATATGTATTCTTCTTCAGCCCTGTTTTGTTATCTCGTTGTTCTATCCTTCTGCCCATTTATGGAATAAATTGTAAAATAAAATAAAATAAATTTTGAAAATAAATTGAAAAAGTTCGCCGGTAACAATTCTGAATGTGAGATGATCTGTTCAAGGAACAGCCTAATGAGAATAGAAGTGGAGACTCCGGAGTAGAATAATTGCGGACGGCCCACACAGCTTTGTGACGTAGGACGATAGTCTTTTTTTTTTCCAATCCTGTGGACGCCATGTATTTACGTTTTTACAACACATCAAAAGGTCAGAGATGCCCGCATTTGTACTCTGCATATTCTCTCTGCCTTATGTTTCATTGAACTCCTGACATTAACGCCGGAGAAATGCGATGTGGACAGGCAGTTCGCCTGAAGTTGCTTTCAGCTTTCGTGTTCAGAACGTCGTTCAACATTTATCAGATGGACTGCTGTGTGTGTGTGTGTGTGTGTGTGTGTAGAGCGAAACTTCGATATCGCAGGGCAAACTATGACATTTTCAAACTTGCTCTGACAGTATTACCGCCCTCTTACCATGCAAATTCATTCCAGTCTCACAAAGGAAAATACACGAAGCTTGGGTTAATAAGTGAATACACACAGCGCTGTTATTCATCCCTGAATATAACATGTAAATAAGTGTGAAGAGATCGTTCAAATGCAACGCGGAATTCATACACCTCAACTTCTCTCATCTTCCGTCCTCCTCTCTTTACTTTATCTCACTCACTCCTTTCTCACTTATTGCTTTCCGTTCTGTAATATTTAACCATAAACATTTATAAAATCACAAGATTGGAACGTAATCCAGGCCACTGTGACATAGATTTAAAACATTTGTAGATAAAAATAAATCTCAAAACTATGGCGTTGCAAGACGAGGTCGGTACTACGTAGTTAAACGTTTCCCCGGAAGAATGCGCCCATTCAAATACTTCCCTTTTTAGTGTAACGAAACATAAATATGAGCGTGTATCGATGTGGCTTATGCTGAAAACAGATGAAGTCCACCTGCCGTTGTACAGGGAACGACATTCTTACAGCGCAGTCAAGTATTTGAGCTCTGCTAGGTTATTATTTCAAGTACAAGGCAAAACCAGACGTCCTTCACCGTACGCATACATATTTGACTAACCCTCTTGGTAAACTAACCTGAGGACACTATGCTAATTAACTCAGAGGATCAAAGATGGCAGACTGTGGAACGTGAAATGGATGTAACACATTGACTCTAACATAGTCATATTCTGTCTGTGATCACTGTTCATAGGTCATGTCAAATTTTTATTATGTTCTTGTAAGGGAAAGTAGAAATATTTAGGATAATTATAATTTATCGCAAAAGTGGTGTTGGCAGCACTGAAAAGTGTAATGAGCGTAAATACTAAACTCCCCTTTTGCACTTTTGTTTTGGTTGTCAGTGTTGAAAGAAGATTTAAACCTGAATCACTAAACGCCATGTTGGCGCTTGGGGGGAGAGGGTAAAATTGGTTCTACTAATTCTTAACCTCGGCACTAGATGGGGTGAGTTATCAGCGTCATATCCCAGTGACTCTTTACTCCTCTAACCAAACTTCAGACGATGTAAATACCGATATAAAATTAACAAATGTTGAAAGTTTTTGATTTTAAATGTTCTTGTAGTCTCCCCGATCAAACTATGTACGCGAATCTTCTCCAGTCTGTGGGATTTCCGTCAAATACGAACGGGAATAGTCGAAATCAGGGGGAAATATTCTGTTTCATTCAGAAGATGCCACTGCAGGACAATTAATGAGCCCACGACTTCGCTGACTTTTACGCTCTAATGTCTTGATCCTGCGAGAAATATGTAAAAGTCTCTTATTTCCTACGCCCAGTGCAGTCCGCCATGGACGTTGCCCGTCGATACCCGAACCACGTGGCGAGGGAAATGTCCCCGCTAATTTACTTTCACGAATTTAATTGTAATTATATTTCATCAGCTTCTTGGGAAACGTAGTTAATTCATTTAACTTCCCCGGTGCTGTGCTCTGAGGGCCCAGACATTGGGTGGGGATATTTCAACAAAATGAACAGGAGACAAAGACGAACACGGCATATGAGTACATTCCTCGGGGTACGAACTCATTCTACCAGCGAGTGGCAAGGAAAAACATTGTCATTAAATGCCAAGGCTGCATCGTGTCGTTTCTGATGGC